AGGTAGATACTATGATGAATCTGGCTGTATCAGTGAATCATCTAAGCATGAGAGACAGCTGGAATAATTCCATCTGCAAGCTGCACTCAGTAGATTTGATCATGCCTACCACAATCATTTTCAAAAGGCAGTTACAAGGCTGCTAGAACCAGCCTGGTTAAGCTGCTTTTCTAATTGCCTCTCTGTTCCTAAAACGCCCTTTTCAGGACTGTTGCCTTACAAGCAAGCCAGTGGCCATTTGTCTTTGAAACAGTCAGACTGTGCTCATAGCCCCTCAGCCCATTTGTACCATTGGTGGTCACAGCAGTGGTGCTGCTGCACCTATATTCTCTTGCACAAATATTTGTGTTCTGTCCTTTATCTCCCATTAATCAGACAACTTGGACCCGTCTACACACAATCTGCTTGGAGACACAACAAGTAATCACGGTTTGGCTTTAGCATCACTATGGTATATCATGTTCTAATTTTATTATTCTGTCCCAGATTGCGTTGCTAAATACAGCAGTATCTGGGAATTACAGTCCTGCAGACAGCTGTAATAAGATTGCAGATGGAACATGTTTATTCAGATGTGTAGTCCACCATGGATAGGACAAAATAAGCAAGATTTCGGAAACTATTTGAAGCAATAAACGATAACTCGCTGCACAGTTCACGTACTGTGTTATGGGTCGGTTAGCCCAAGGAAAATACACTGGCTGGTGCATCCTCAGTCTTTAACAGCTGCTGCATGATTTGATAGATGATTTTTAATAAATCGAGGGAGGGAAGGGGAAAAATAGTCTTCAAGAACCTGGGGCTTAGTTCTGTTAATGTTTGCTGCTTAGAGACAGGAATATTGTTTGTTTCTTGACAGGTCTTCGGTAGAAGTTGTAAATAACTTTACTGTAGCTGCTACACCAGGTCTCCTTTTTACATGGTTGTCTTGGAGTCTTAAGCATTTCATTGTACCCAGAATCTCCTGTGAGTGAGTGAAGATCGCTTCCTGAAGCACTTAGGTTCAGAATGACCTAGTGGCCTGGCAGCGATCAGATGCTTTCTAACACCATTAATGCTTTCAGGAGGTCACCAGATGCCATTGAGCGTTATAATCTGAGGCAAATGTAAGTCTACCCAACTGCTTAGAGCTAGTCAGGGAAGAGCTGAAGAGCTCATCTTGCAGCCCTACGCAAGGTGGCCAGCAATGAATTCTCTTGGCTGGTGCAGTGAAATGGGTGGCCACTTGGTGGAGTAAGGAGACCTCCAAATACCATGGGACCACGCCGGCGTTAGCAGCTACACCTCTGGTGCCAGCCCTGGAAATTCTTGGTCAGCGCTTGGAAACACGCGTTTGATGCTGTGAATTCACGGTGGAAACGGTTTTATGTGAGCCGATACGGAGGATTATTTAATTTTAGTAATAACTTAATAAGAGTAGGTACTTTGGTCTCTGTGAGCACAACCCTATTACAACAAGGCATTACGATTGCAAGTAACAGCTAAATTGGCCAACTTCAACCAGCACATAGCATTCCAGTTTGTGATTTGTGCTTGGGCTTGCTCTTTGTCACATGGTGTATTCCCTGGCTATCCTTGAAACTTTGGTCCATGTCTCTGAGGGTAATTATACGCGTTGTATGAGGAAATAAGACATTGGTGTGTTTGCTGAGGTAAGTGCAGTTAACCATCTAGCCAGGCTGATCTAGCAGAGTTTTGCACACACCTAATTCATAATCTGGTAAAAACGCTGTTGAAATCGATCAAGAGCATTCACACTATACAAAACTAAACCACACAAACTTTTGCAAGGTAAGGTCCTTTAACAACTAGAAAAGTTCAAAGGAAGATCCTTGTTTGTTGAAACATTTCCCCAAAATTCCTAACAGCTGTTTTGTTCTCATTTAACTTTTGTATAATAGAAAAAAAAAATAGAGAAAATGGCAGTTAAAAAGTCAAGCATCTTACTTCTGTGTCATACCTAAGTAAGTTAGAAGTATTAAGAGCTAAAAGTTTTCTCATGCTAAGTTTTCAAGCAGGGCAAGAGTATTAATAAGCCATTTCTTGCTGCCTGTTATATGATACTTAAAGAAAATATCCAACTGATAAAGCACATCTGCTCTGTTGCTAAGCAGAGCTACAGCAGCCAGTGGGAAACGGGATTTGATTCAAAATACAGTAAGATTTGCTCAATGAGGGTTACATTTGTATATACTATAAAAAGATATTGCATTCTGGGGCTGTTCTGAGAGGCTGGGTCTCAAGATGTTGCTGCTATGTGCTGGAACACAACCAGAATTATAGACAGAGGTCATCAGCCTTGGGGAACGCACTTCTTGGATGCTCTTTCTGACAACAGATTACAATTTTCTATGTAAGTGGAAGTGACATTGATAGAAAAGCAGCTGATTGTAAAGAAAGCCTGCAAATGACAGCCATGGCCTGTGGTATTGAATGAAATGTTTCCTCTTGAACTCTTTATTCTGAACAGATAAATACGGTAGCAGTCTTTCAAGTGCAGAAAACTCGATTTGCAGCATGTAAAATATTTATTCCCCGTACAGCATGAGTTAAATGAAGAAGTTGCCAAACATCTTTGATTACACAAATATGTTGATAAACCAGTGAGGAAAGAGAGCCCGTTGGTACTAGCAGACATGTTCTACCTGGAACTGGCGAAGAGGAGATCAGCAAAGAGTACTGCCAGCTCCATCCACTGGCGATAAGCATCTACCTCCTCTTCGATTCAGCTTTACAAACTGTGCCTTGCCATTGCAGTTGCCCAGCAAGCATGCAGCACATGTTCAGCTCAGTATCTTGCCTTCAGCACATTAGGGGTACCCCCAGCTTTCAGATCTTGGACAGTTATTGACAGCATCCCACATCTCAGTTCAGTGCTGTCAAATCATCTCCCAGCTGTCAGATCTTTGCTCACAGTACTCAGCTGTCTACAACGACATCTTCCACAGCCTCTTCATTTCTCCTTATCTGTTTGATTCCAGTGCTCAAGCTGTCTGTGTTAGTTTCAGACTTAAACATTAACTCCCCAAACTGTAGTGTCTATAGCTGGAGCTTTTTTCTCTTCCCCTCCCACTTCCCCCCACCCCTTACAAACTAATGCAAGAATGACACAGATTGTAATGCTGACAGTTTTGGTCTAAATCTATGTTTGCATTTATTTGCATATCTAGAATAAGTCCTTTCTTCCTCCAGCAGAAGGTAAAGGAGAGTCAGTGGAGATTAACTGGATTCCATGAGACAGAGCGTGACCCCCTCTGAGGCGTCGGAATTCGTCCTGGCTAACAGGAAGAAATATTCCTTTCTTTTCCCCCTCCCCAAGCGTACTTGGTGTGACTCCACTTTGGTGTCCAGGACTGCACAGAGAGGGGTGAGTCAGAGGTGGTGCAAGGAGGCACTCCGAGGCAATCTGGGAAAGCAAGGTGAGACAATGACACACGTGTGCTCTGAAGCTTTAAAGAGGTTGAACTCCACTTGGGAGCAGTCAGCCTGACAGTCACTAATTCCACATGGGTGTGCTTTCCATGGCTCTGAGGAGTACCAGCTCACGGATTTTTTGAGTACTTTGAATAGATGCCCTTGAGCATGTGCTAAGCTCAATCCCCATGTAACCTGAAGATGAGTTCAAGGGTCCCAGGATAACAGCTGAATGTTTTCACATCTTAAGAACCCTGCTGTAACTTCAGAGGAGTTTGCTGATCAAATATTTTGCTTCCTGTTCAGCTCTCCTCACAACTCTTCCTAAAGGCTCGTATCTGATCTCTGCACTTGGAATTTCTTTGGGTTATTCCCCCCTCGCAGGAGAACTCTTCTGTATTTGCTGTAAAACTAAAGGAAGGTCAAGGTGGCAGAGGCTCTGGAACCAGTTCCCTATCTCTCTGTCAAAGGGGGAGTATGTGGGGAGCTGTATTACTAGTGCAGTGTCACTGTGTTGTTGATTGACAGCCAGGTTACAGCCTACAGGCTGTCAGGTCGACCTCTTCCTGAATTCAATTTGCAAGAGCTGACACTTGTGCTCAAAGAAGCTAAACTTCCTGAGGAGAACACTCCTATTTGCTCCTAGAACAGAGATGAATTTTACCAGCTTGCTCTAATAATGGGATTTTCAGGGTTGCTAAGGGCCGTATTGACCTGTCTTACTGCAAGAAGCAAATGAATGGATACTGTCTCGATTCAGAACCTGCTGTGCTTCTATGGCCATCTTAAGAGGGACAGCTTTATCAGTCACCCAAGAACCTCACTCGGTGATGGAGGGTTCACCTGCGCTTAGCAACTGCAGTGGAAAGTGCTGGCTGAGGCAGTGAGTACCTGAGCCTGACTCAGCCAGTGCTCCTTCTCCGCAGGGTGATGCCCCGTCATTCCTGGTCTGAGGCACAAGGCAGGCACCAGCACCATTCCTGCTCTTCCCTCTGGTACCTCATGGCTGTGGGCTTCAAAAAGGGTCTAAAAACCTGAGAGAGAAAAGGGACAGAGATGGAATTAAACCCCAGCTGTGGAGCACAGCAGTCACGGGAGGCTTTGATGAGGGATCCTGCCATGGCAGGGACATCCCTTCATTACCAGCCATGTCTCATTAATGTGTGGGTGAACAGTATCTGTTCTAAGCCAATCCCAGGCACAAGGAATGCTGCTGCATGGCTCTGCATGGTCGCTGGAGCACAATGGAGCACGGGAAGCTCTGCTTGTCCTCCTTTCCCTACTTCCCTCCCCTTAACTCCATTCTGCTTATTGTCCCCTCGGCCTGGCGCTGTTCAGACCGGGATCGATGTGTTTTCCCCATGAAGAACTGCAGCGTGGCTCCTGCTCTAACTTGTGGTGGGAGGAGGAGCGCGCTGTGGGGCTGTGAAGCGCCCTGCAGCGGGGCTCTCCTGCCCCACTCCTCTTCCCCGTGCCGATCTGCCTCCCCCGCTGCCCCTGTCGCGATTATCGTCGCTCTCGAGCCTCTCCCCTCACGCCCCGCTTCCCGCCCAGCCCGGCGCCGCCTCTCCCCTCAGCGCAGCGCCCCCTGGCGCCGGCCCCGCCCCTGCCGAGCGCGGTTTCCCCCCGCCGCCTGCATCCTCCGGCTCTGTCCTATTGTTCTCCCTTCCCTCGCTCCCTCCTTCCCTCCGCCCGGGGCTCGCGTCCTCTCTCCGCTCTCCTCCATCCTTCCCTCCTCCTCCTCGTCGCCGTCCCTCCCGCCCGAGCTGATGTCACGCACCCGCTGAAGGCGCGGGCGATCATGGCTGCTGCGGCCGGGGCCGTGCCGCCGGCCTCCAGCTAATGCCCGCGATGGAGCCGGCGAGCCTGCTGCGGTTCCTGCGGAAGCTCAAGGAGGTTTTCGACGTGTGCGACGAGGATGCGGACGGCTTCATCCGGGTGGAGCACTTCGTCGCCCTGGGGCTGCAGTTCTGCCAAGGGGATGAGGTGAGTGAGGCGACCCCCGGTCCCGCCCGGGCCCCGGCAGCCAGGCAACTTTCACCTGCTGCTCCCGCTGTGAGGCGAGCGGGCCGCGGCTGTGCCCGGCCAGACCCCACCGGGACCCCCCTCACCCACTTGCCTTCATCTCGGCCCGCATTCACCCCGTCCCTTGGGGACCCCCCGACTCCGGCCCTCAGGCGGCACAGATCCGCTCCTTTCAGGGCGGCTCGGACCCTCCCCAGTCCCTCAGGGGGTCCCAGGGCCCTCCCCATGGCAGCCTCTGGAGCCCCTTCCCTCAGGGCCACCCAGCCTCTCTCCCCCTTTCCCTCAGAATCGTCCCTAAAGACAGCCCAGCTCTCCCCTTGTCTCAGGGGGTCCCGAGCCTCCCCGTTCCCTCAGGGCGGCCCAGACCGCCCAGGCTTATCTATCTCCCGGTTCCCTGTGTGGGGGACAGGTCCCTGTCAGGGTCCCTTCCCTGGGCCGTGCCGGTGCTGCGCCCTTCGGGGAGGTGTATTTATCGTGGTGACAGCGGGGTTATTGCGTCCCGGCTGAGCTGCGCCCTCGCCGGGGTCCCAGGCTCTGCGGGGAGCAAAGCCTGGGGCTGAGCGAGCTGAAGCCGGGCAGCGGGCAGGTGAAGCACAGCAATGTCTGAACAGGCAGGGAAGCACCAGCTCAGGTGCAACCGAAAGCCTTCAGGTGACGGGTTGGAAGTGAGGGCTCCATCCAGCCCTTCAGTGACACAGCGTAAATCTGGAGTCGCGCCACTGGTCTCGGTGGGGCCCCTGCATCAGTGGGACCACTGTAAGCCTGTGACATCAGTGTAAATGAGAGTGGGATTCAGGCCGCTGTCTGCGAGGGTAATGATGTGCCTTTGGTTTGAAATAGTTCCCTTAAGTGATTCAATCAGGGGCTGCAGTTCCAACAAATTAACCAGCAAGAAACGCTTCTTTCCCTAGGAGAACTCTTGGGATATTGCACAGAACCGTTTAATGCTTCACAATATGTCCCGGCAATTTCAGGTGATGGGGAAAGGGAGTAGAGTTGGGACTAGGATAGTATTCAGAAAACCAGTATCAACCAACCTTTTAAAGTACAATAAAGCAAATTAATGTGAGGAGCCAATTAAATGGTAGTTTATAAAGGGATGCCAAAGAGGCAGCAAACCCAGAGTGAATTCACAGTAATTGTTGGAGCAAATGACTTATTTTTGGCTTACCACTGCTAATGAAACACAGCTTGTGAATTAAATTGGAAGACCAGAAGACAGAAGGCTTATTGCTTGCAGATAGTCACAGGTCTGTTAAACATTTTCTTAATGAAAAGATAGAGCTTCTTTTTCTAACCAGCGGAATGAGGAGAAATGAGTAATAGTAGAGAGCTTTATTGATTTCTGGGTTTATTTATTTCTTGGTCTCATTTCTTATAAACTAATAGAAGTCTTTAAATCCTTCCCGCCAGATAGACTGCATCAGAATTGCTTTCTGCACTACCACATTTATGTGGCGGCAGATCAGTGGCTTTCTCTTGCAGCACCGAGGGAGACTGGTCAAATTCCACTGCCTGTTTTGCAGCAGGATGGCATTGATGAGCATAACGATCCTTTTTTGTCTTAGAAATCTGTAAGGTTGTGAGAAGGGAGCATGTTCTGTAAGATGCAAAGGAGGATTCAGGTGCTGATCTCATGAGCTTAGAAGTATATTAGTTGGAAAATATTTAAATAGAATGGGAAAGAAAACTGGAAATCTTAACAATGATGCCAGTAGAAAAGTACCAGTTGCCAGTGGTAGTGTCTAGGTTTCAGGATGGGCTGGCTTACTGGGCACACACAGAGAGATCTCCAGTGATGAGAAATGTGTTTGTATTTTGTTCAGTGTTCAATAAGATCGTTGCAAAACTGGGTCAGAGAATCTATCTATGTATCCATCAGGGTTATAATATAACTTGTTCTGGTTTGCTTCCCTCTGCCTGTTACAGTCATTGCCTAGCAGTCCCTTGACTTCAAAGGAGCATGTGTCAGCTGAGTAAATGGGATTTGTAAATCGCCAAAAGAGCCTTGCTAGGGAAATACAGCATCAGTTTTCCAAGTGCAGATTTACTGTAGAACAATCATGGTAGGTGAGCTAGTATGGTTTTAAGTCTTGTTAAAAATGAACTTTATGTGTGATGAATCACAGTTGATGTTTGGAGACGGTGAGAATCTATTCTTCCATCTAGCACAGTGCTTTCAGCCTTGCATCCGCAGGAACCTAATAAGCTCTGTGCAGAAATCCATCTCATGAAATTAAACTGAGGAGACACTGCTAGAGAGCAGCTCCCTTTAACACAGTAGAGCATTTACTGTCATTGAAACTTAAGTATTCATTGGAACATGCTACACTTCTTGGACCTGATCCACCTTAGGTTCCTTTACATTCAAAAGAAATCTTTTCACTGGCACCAGTGAAAGACAGACTTGCCCTCATGTGTAAATTACTTGCTGCTTCTATTTACGTAATTCATCTGGCCACAGGAAGGATCCAAATTTGTAGCATGGTAGCCTGAATAATTCTGATTCCTACGAACAGTAGCCCTGGGTCACAAAATGAAACGAGGGAGTATCTGCCCCTTCAGTTGTGCCAGCCCAATACGCAGCTTTCCACCTCTTCTCTACCTCCTTGGAGTCACTGCCATCCAAAGCTTGGAGTCTATAAATCCTTAATAGTAGCTTCAGTCAGGCTGTGGTTGGACTCTGCAGGGCATTTAGCCTTTTCTTTTTTTTTTTCATTTCCTTTCAAATTCCTTTTTCTTTCTTCTTTGTGTGGGTGTGGGTGTGCAGGTAGTCAGTAACAGTGCTGAAATTTATCATTCCTGAAAGATAATCCTCTGAAAACTGCCCCAAGGCAAAATGTTGCAGCAAGGCAAAATCTTACTATACAAGCAAAGCAGTCCTTACCTGCACAGTCAAAATAATAAACTTTAAGATTTCTGATCAATTTCCTTACTATTTTACTTTTAGCAGGCTTTTGAAGTCTCTGCTTCTAATAACTTTATGCTTTGCTTTTCTTCTTTAAGACCACACCATCATGACTGTACCTCAGTCAATTCTGCCTTTCCCATGCACACTGAAATGCTGTTATTGCCATGAAGTCGTTGCAAATCCACAGCAGCAGAATTGCCTCAGAGCAGCTGTTTAGGTGTTCTGGCTGTGGAATCACTTCAAGCAATATTGCTTGCAAAATTTTGCTTTGCCCTACAGAGCATGTGGCTCATCTAGATGAAGAAGTGACTTGGTCATCTTAATTTGGCAGAGCCAGGAGCAGAGTCATGTCTCTGAATTGCTGCTGTGTTGCCTGAATTAATAGCAGACCAGGCTAGCTGTCAAGCACTGCTTGCCCACACAAATAGTTGTGGAACTTAACGCTTTTAAGCAGTTTGGAATTTTGGCCTCTGTTCATCCCATCTGACTGTAGGCATTTAACTGAGTTGTCTCTATTTATCTTCCCCTGTGGTCATTGATGAGCAATTAAACATTCAAAGGGTATGACAGGACCCAAGGATGAAATAAATCTTTAGAGGTGCTCCTTTATCTCCACTGACAACAGAAACTCCTAGCTGAGACTTCTGGTTCAGGGCTTAAAAATAGCAGGCTTGGGCCTTGCCTTCCTCTTGAATGGGCTGTTTGCTCTTTGTGGAGGAATCTGAAGAAAGATGTGAAGGGCTGTTTCCAAAGCGACTTGACGGGATGGCATGTGCTCACTAACTGAAGAAACACTTCGCATAACATTGAAAAATGCCAAGAGTCGCTCGCCATCTGGTTCCCTTTCACTGGGAAGATAGTTGCACTAGCAGCCAAGTGTCTAGGAGCATTGTGAGTGACATGTTCAGCAAGCCCCAGTTCTGGCAGTGGATTGTGTGAATGTGTATTTCAGGGTAGTGCCAGTTGATGTTTCATTATGCCAGATTCTATTTAAACTTTACATTCCTTTTTGAGCAACAAGTGAAACATGCTGAACATGTTGATGACTTCTGTGTAAGCACCTTTTGGAGGTGTGCAAACCATACAGGTGCTTAGACAGTAATATTTGTCATGATCGACAGACACTCACCAATTTGAAGCAGTGTCACACCTGAGAGGGAACTTCAGCAGTTAATAATATCTATAGGCCAATATCAATTATTTTTGTGAATAGACAGTAATTCACTTTAAGTCAATGGTTTACTAGTGGTGTAGAACAGAAGTAGATGAAAAGAAGCTCCTGTATTTCATGTGAACAAATTAAACTTTATGGTCAAAAGAAACTATTGAAATAGGGAGATGCCTGTTGTTAATTTTAATTGCTTTCATTCATCCCTATTCTCAGCTGACATTAAAGTCATCAACATGAAGTGCTGCTCAGGTAGTAGATTGTGGCTGCTGACTGAGGTTAATCACAGTCCTCAGCTTCATTTTGACTTGCTCTCAGATGTCTCCCAGGGACACCTGACAGTCATGCTCTAAACGCAGCTATTCTATTGTAACTACTCTGTAAGTAGCTTGTTCTGTAAAGTGCAGGAGTGTAATTTCAACTGCATGACAATATGGAGCCTTTCTGAATGATCTGGGTGAATCTCAGCCATAATGTTGCATTTCAGAGTTGTACCCAGAAATTAATGGAATTTCTGCAAATTTACATCATTGTGCATGATGACAGACATGAGTGCATACCTTCTTGATAATAGCAGTATGCTCTGGATTTACCTGCAGCCATGAGAAAAGGAGACTGACACTGAGGCATTGAAATAAAAGTATTAGGGTGTTACCAAGTGATACTGCCATCCTCATAGTGGAGGCAGAAAAGAGTTATGACTTCTTTCTTCTCTGCTTTCCCTCGAAATAATTACTGACAGAAAAAAGAAAGTATTTGCCTAGATGTAATGAGAATGCAAAGAGCCCTTCTGTGTGATGGTGTTCCCTAGATAGCAGCAAGGCTGCCACTCATTTAGACTCCTTAAAACTATATTTGCTAATGACCCAAATATTCATATCA